CCGACAATTTCCTGCAAATGCCGTCCAAATGCTCATCTGCAACAAACCCTGGCTGCCGCTGCACACTGACACATAAATATATAAATATAAATATACATTTAAATATAAATATGCTTCTTTCTCGCGAGATCCGCAGCGAGATTAGCCTCCACGTTGACTCCGCACGGAACAACATTAGACTGGTGCGCTATCTCTCTACATCTTGTTAATATATATATAATTATATAGAGCACAGAAATGGGACCAGTCTAGCAGAGCTATTGGCCGCCTACTACCATTATTAGGTTGAAACTTCTACTTCTACTTCTATACTGGACAGTCCCTAAGGAATAAACGTCCAGGGCGATAGCTAGCCATGGTGTGTGTGACCTAGCCAGGGTACAGCCAGGTAGTTTGCCTTTTTTAGCCGAATGGCACTGAGGGTGGTCACAGCCAGAGTTTTTTGCGCCCTCAGTGGTTCTTTTACGTCCCCATTGGTCTTAGTATTACTATATTGACTAATACTGGAGACAGGACCGCCATTTTACGTGGTCATCCGAGCCACGGGAGATTCACAGTCTCCAATGTTGAGAGCCAGGTTTTTACACCTTCAGAAAATTCACTGCCCCAGCCGGGGTTTGAACTCACAGCCTTCAGTGGACAGTATACGTGGCCTAACCACTGGACCACGAGGGCTCTGTTGGACCACGAGTATTAAAACGGAGTATTAAAAAGAATTATAACCTGCGAAACGTGTTCGTGTGATTCGAAGAAGCGATTTATACACGTATCTATTTGGTTTGGACTATAAAAAGAAACGACGGGGGCTATACGCGTAGCCTGTATTGCTCATACGACGTTACATAGGGATACATTTGGTATGAATTCAGTGAACACACGGAGACAGCGAGGTAAGTGCATGCAGCTATAGCACACGACGTGCGGTGTTATTAGTGCAGATGGGGTCGTTGTCGTATCAGGTACTACAGATATGTACCCGAGCTAGTTTTAGGGTGTTTAGTAGTATGTTTATATTTTCATATGAGGTATGTTTAGGGTTAGGGTTAAGTTTAGGGTTATGGTTAGGGCTAGGGTTAGGGTACACTTCTGTAGTACAGGTCTGGTACACTTTGTGTATACTAAGTATCCTGCCAGATATGCGCGCACATACCCAATGCTACGGGAAGCGTACCTAGTGCATTGAGCATGGGTGCGGTTGGCATTACAGACTCTCCGCCGGGACTCTGCTTCGAAGGAGGGGAGAGTGTAAGGTGTCTATACCGTCACCTACGAGTCGAAGCCATTCTACGGGATTCAATCCTGTACTGATGCTTCGCCTCCTCTGATATCTACATAGGACTCCTATAGCACCCACAGAGTTTTCTTCCTCTGCTTCCGGCACATACACGACTCCTAGCCTTTGCCTTGTCTTCTCTTAATATCTACCTACTTTTCCCATCTTTCCCTTGCTTGTCTTCGTACGGTCTCTGCATGCTTTTCCCCATCTTTCACGCGTTCGTCTTCCTCTGCTCTCTACATATACGAATCCTAGCCTTCCCTCGCCTGTCTTCCTCTGCTCTCGGTTTACTCGTCCTATCCTTTCATTGATCGTGTTCCCTTGCTCTTGGCATACGAGTGCTAACCCCCCACATCTCACACATACGTATATAAATATAATAATTTACAGTCTATACTGAGATATTATAATCCGTCTAATGATTTGATTCATGTTGATAATTTCCACATTGCGCGACTACAGTCCCTGGTATTGTTCTCGACGTTTTCCCTCTACGTGCGTATAAACAACAACGTGATTACGATTGAATGATATATGTTATTGCCTGCATCACTTTCAAAGGTGTTAGTAAACAGTAATTCGCCGCGACGAGATACGCAGTGACGTGTATAAAACCTAGTAAACGCACGTCTTCACTTGTTTCTATCTCTCAAACTGTAAACTCTATGCTCGGGTGTCTGAGGCCGGCGTTGATGCATATATAAGAAAAGGCGATATGCTACGGTTTTGCGCAGAAGTTCAATTGCAGATTAGAGCCATATGTCACCGTGTAGCCGTCTCTCGTGACGCCAGGTGTTTCGGTGATGTCCGATTGAAGGTCGGATACTATGCCGCGGAATATATTTCGTCTCACGAACGGGTCGGTCTCTTCGGCAAGGTGGTTAACGTCGCTGGCAAGATCAGCGCCGACTCGGGTTGTAGATTGCAGACATACCTGAGCGAAACAGCGAATTATCGCGTTAAAACGCAAACTCGCGAATAGGAAACCGCGTGCACATGCATTCTCTCCCGCTACGCGTGTATCGTATGACATGCAGAATTAACCGACTAGCAGGAGTTTGACATTGCAATACACTATGGGCAGACGTGTTATGCGCACGTATATGCACGCACGCACGCACGCACGCACGCACGCACGCATGCACACACGCACGCAAGCAGACAGATGCGCGCCATGCACGCACACATCCATGCAAACATGAACGCACACACACGTACGCACGCACGTACGACATATTTGATATATATATAAATATATATATTTATATATGTATATATACTCACTAAGAGTGACACGATCCATATTAGCGTTGTTGCCGTAACGTGCTCCATCTCTCGCTCTGTCTTTCACCTTCTACTTTAACAGCGTATATACACTCACATCGACTGCCGCCTCTCTATCGATCTCCAATACCACACGTACTGCGCGCTTGGTGACACGCTCCTCACATTTATACTCGTTCCTAGGTTCTCGCGGCCTCGGCAAGGCAACCCGGAATCGTCCTAGTTTGTCGAGAAACGAGTTAGTAGCTTGTTTTACGGTGCTAGATTGTGTACGGTGAGCACTGGGGGGCAGTCGCTAATGTTTTCCGCAATTAGCGATATATAGCTGAAGGATGGATCGTGGCCTGATGACGAGCAGGGCGAAAAGCGAGTACGTACCAGCAGGTACCTGAAGAATATATATACCACATGTTGTTGTGGTGTATGTGTGTGTGTGGGTGGGTGTGGTGGGTGGTGTGTCGGTGTGGTGTGTGTGTGTGGTGGGGTGTGCCGGCGCGTGTCGTGCTGCGTGTATATATATAATGTAGATCTATAAAATATACTCTAATATAAATAATACTGGTTTGACACACCATAGCAGTCCGAAGATCGCTCTAATCCTCGCGTACCATGCTACCTAAAACTGCAGCATGGAGTTAATAAAACCCCAATACCATGGCTTGTCCTGCATGCTGCCCCCCATATGTTTTACAACCCCATCTATAGATAGAGTTTTAGCGAACTGATCCTTGCGCAGCATACATTACGCCCGCATTCCATAACAACGACGAAAAACACTAAGGCAGATTATACTAAAAGCGCAAACCATTGGCGCTGCCCATACAATCGCCAGCTGTATGCCCAGCATCGCACATGCGCGCACGCACGCACGTACGTACGCAACGCACGCACAGCACACACGCACACATGCACCACGCACCACGCACGCACGCATCACGCACGCACGCACACGACGGTCTGGATATTCCAAAGGCAGCCAAGCGCGCCTGTCGCTAGTCAGCGCCCCGATCCCCGCAGCGCCGCCCACCTGCCCACGCTCACTCGCACCAGCCGGCCTGCACGCACGAGCCAAACATGTTTCTGCTTGCCATCTATGACACAATACGACATACGCATATACGTCTCTCCATGACGGCTATAATTGGCCATAGGAAGATTCTTTCTAGTGACGAAATATTGGCCGAGTCAACTTCGTTCGCGCTTATACAGCTGAAAATTCACTGACTTGTGCGTTCAAATAGCGCTCCTAAACAAATATTGTCAAGAGAGCGTATATGCGCAATGTGTATTGCATAAACGTGCTAGCAGAACAGCTGACATGCACACCTAGGTACGCAACACACCACACGCAACCAGGCTGAAAGTGACATCCAAATCTGACGCGTTGCCGCCAGCATTCTAAAGCGAGTGCGGAAGGCTCCGATCGCAGAGCCCGGGAAAACGAATCAGCCACTGCAGAGGACGTCAAAATAACATCATGATAGCGAAAACACCTAATTATTCAACTAAAGTTTTAATAATGAGTTAATCCTCTCTCGCTCTCTCTCGCCTCTCTCTCTCGCGTCTTCTTCTTATCTTACAGTCTCTGAGATCTAGCTCTTCAGCTTATCTTTCTTCTCCTCTCCTTCTTCTCTCTCGTCGCTCTCCCTCTTCTCTTTCTCATCCGGCGCCTCATCCGTGTCTCTCTGCACTCTCGCTCCCCGGCATCTCTCTTCCACGGCTAAACGAGCCTATCATTTAGCCATCTATTTAAGCCCACTATTATTCATTTCTTTTTATCATCTATCATACCATCGTTTATCTATTATTATCCCATGCTATTTATGATTTACACGCTAATCTATCCATCCATCCATCGTGCCGCGGCCGCCCGTCCGCCGTCTAATCATCCATGACCGTCCGTCCGACGTCCACCATTCCAGTGATCAAAACCTACACACATACTTACCTACTTGAAGGCATACGCCATCGTTCCCGACAATGCCAGGTAATCCGAGAGTTAACTGCTGTTAGGCAGCATTGTACAATCGGCAGAACACACACACACACAACTACACATGGTCGGCGCACAGCACACCACACACAACACACACATCACATCACGCACACACAACACACAACCAACATCACACACACCACCTACACACACAAACACACACCACACACACACACACACACACATCACAGCACACACACGCTGAGGTCGTGTTGGAGAGCTCCACAGCATCACACACACACACACACTTCACACAACACACACACACACCACACACCCAATATAAACATGACCAAAACTAGACAGAGGGCACCAGAGAGTGCATACCTCCGCGAACATTAACATTAATCTGCTCGCGGGCGGCCTGCTGACTGAACCGCAGCCTGCAAACTCACCGCTCACTGGTGGCTGCTGCTTGACTTGTCGCCACTCGCATGACAATCGAACGCCGCTATCGACGCGCGGTGGCTGCTGACTGACTCGCCAGCTGCTAACTTCGCCGCTCACTGGTGGGCTTGCTTGCTGACCATCGCACACTCGCGACTCGACGCCTAATCGATCGCCGCGGGTGCCACACACACACACACCAGCACAACACACACACATACACACACACACGGATTCGCGTCGCGGCGGCAGCAGCGCGCCGAGCGAGGCAATGACCTTCCGCTTTCGCGAGGTTAAAAACATCAAAATATAATAGTAATATTAAATATAAATTCTAAATATAGAATAATAATAAGCCATTTTAAACATAAATATGCTCCTCTCGCGAGATCCGCAGGGCGAGAAGCCGCCACGTGGACTCCGCACGGAACCCAACATTAGACAGGCGCTATCTCTCTACACGTCTTGTTAATATACATATAAAGATAAGCCACGTAGAATGGGACCATCTAGCAGCAGCTATGGCTCGCCTACTACCAAATTATTAGAGTTGAAACCTCCTACTTCTACGCATACTGGACAGTCCCCTAAGGAATTAAACGTCCAAGGCGATAGCTAGCCATCGGTGTGTGTGACCGTAGCCAGGGTACACCCCAGGTAGTTTGCCATTTTTTAGCCGAATGCACTCGAGGGTGGTCACAGCGTCAGAGTTTGTTGCGCCTCAGTGCTGTACGCCCCATTGGTCGTAGTATTGACTATATTTACTAATACTCGGAGACGGGACCGCCATTTGTACGTGCATCCGAGCCACGGGAGATCACAGTCTCCAATGTTGAGAGGCGCAGTTGTACACTCAGAAAATTCACTGCCCAGCCGGTGTCGAATCACAGCCTGTCAGTGGACAGTAGACTGCCATACCACTGGAACCACGAGGGCCTGTGGACCACGAGTATCTAAGAACGGAGTATTAAAAAAGAATTATAAAACCATGCGAAACGTGTTACGTGTGATCGAAGATAGCGATTATACACGATCTATTTTTGGACTATAAAAAGAACCGACGGGGCTAACGCGTAGCCTGTATTGCTCATACGACGGTACAGTAGGATACATTGTAGAATTCAGGAACACCCGAGACAGGCGAGTAAGGCCAGCAGGCATAGCACACGACGTGCGTGTATGAGTCGCAGAGGGGTCGTTGTCGCACAGGTTACTACAGAAATGTACCCGGAGCTAGTGTAGGTTAGTAGTAATGTTTAATTCATATGATATGTTTAGGGGTTAGGTTAATGTTTAGGTTAGGTGTAGGGCTAGGTTACGTACACTTCGTATACAGGTCTGTAGCACAGTTGTGTATACTAAGTATCCTGCCAGAATATGCGCGCAACATGGTGTGGTTGTTGTACCCCAATGCTACGAAGCGAAAAACCTAGTCAGAAGCAGGTGCGTGCATTACAGACTCTCCGCCGTACTCTGCTTCGAAGGAGGAGAGTGTAAGGTCCATACCGCACCCTACGAGTCGGAAGCCATTCAAGCGGATCTAACAGGATTCACATACAGGCTTCGACCCAGGAAACACGGCAAGTGGCGCAGGCAAAGGCCCACGCTGCCAGCGTATAGAAGGACCGCATGGATCGACTCGGGTCGTCATTCTACCTACGGCTAACGACCCAGTTCACATCACTACTAGCTCGTCGACTGCGCCAAAAGTTAAAGTTGACCTACACGGCGGTCCCTGGTCGTCTGGTATGAAGGAAGCTGACCCCGAAGTCCGATCACCAGCGGGTCCCGCAATATCGCTGCAGCCGTGGCCTTGCCATGCGGCCGTGTATGCCTGGGTCGAAGCCTGGTATTGAATCTCTTTAGAATCCCGTAGAATGGCTTCGAACTCGTAGTTGACAGATAGACACCTATACACCACATATAGTACCTCGAGTACAACTGTAATAGCTTGATAAGACAACGACTCCTTCAGTGGTCATTCAGTGGACACTGTCCTAACAGCGTAAATAAACGATAGGCTCTTGATTTCTGTAACTCGACTAAGGACTAAACTAAACGTCTCGCGTTCGGATAAGGAGAAACTACGTTCTAGCGACCCAGTAAGAACGCGACGGTGCTCCCCCACGTGTACAAGTATTCGATATGGATAGGTGCATGAAGCGCATGTTCTATAAATGGATACACACAGGGTGTGAAAGACGCGATCAACAGGCATCCTTGAGGCGGTTTAATAAAATATTATGCTAAAAAATACCGAAATCTATTTAACATACCAAAACGTCTGAAGTTCTATATCTCTTTCACCTATAATTTCGCCCGACCATTCCTAGCAAACTGCCGCCAGATGCGATGCGCCAAAACCCAGGCGCGCGCTGTCCACACTGACACACTAATAAAAATATAAATAATAACTAAATATAAGTTGGTCAGTGTGCAGCGGCACCCATGCGGCAGCCAGGTTATGCAGATGAGCATTGACGCACATAGCAGGAAATGTTGCAAATAATAGGTAAAAAAGTACGACAACATAAGACGTTGGTAGAAATAGATTCGTATTATTTAGCATATACTTTATGAAACGCTCCAAGTGCCTGTGGCAATCACATGAGACTAAATGCACAGAATAGCACTACGTCGCTCATTGCGAGACATGTAAGAACCCGTCAAGGAGACATACCACGGCATTGCTATTGAAATACCAGTAGGCAGTAAGATCAGCCAGTAAGTCAATCATACATTTGCTCCGTAAAATA